CTGGCAATACTGAGCTATAATTTTCTGTGAGAAAAATGATAATTTCTACCATATGTGATACAAGTAGTTAACATACATGAAAGAAGAGAGAAGAACAGAGAAGACTGTCTAAGGATAATTAGTTGGATAACTGGATCTTAAATGTGACAGAAATTTTAAGTTCAGGTCCCTGAAACACTTTGATATAACTTGAACAATCCCAATCCATTTTTTGTCAAAAACTAAGCAAGTTTGCACAGTGGGAGTAAACACAGACTTCACAAATTAGGGAAGACCACATAAAGACTCCGTGGCAAGTAAGAAAACAAATTGTGAATAAAAGATAAAGGACTGAGGTGGAGTTCGCTAAATGCTACCTTGAGAAAGTAAGAGTTACTTTATGTTTACTTATGAGGACGCTGTCATCAGTAGGATCAAGTTTTGAAAAGCTGGTTTTTATTCTCTTTGCATACAGGCCACAACAAATTTCTTTGCCTAAACTAAGCAAATCAATGACTGGTTAATCAAACTTTTGCACACTTAGATATGATGGAAGATAATTTATCAATTTCCACTGTCCAACTGAAGTAATCATAGCTGAATAGCATTAATAACATTAATTTCTTATAAAAATGAATCAATGGACTGTATAAAGACTTGCTTCTGGGTCACTACTTTAAATATATATTTAATTAATCTTTGAAGTAACAAGAACATAGCAGGTTTGTGTGTCCAAAACATAGTTCACATTAATCTCATTACAAAAGTACTGCTAATTTTCAGAGCAACCCACCAAAATCCTTAAATTTATTTAACAAATACAAAATTTTCCATTATTTTAAGACACAATTATTAAAACTCATTCTAATTGCAATTATCAGGATTCTAGCCAACATCTATGATTTCCTCTAAAGACAGTACAAGCAGATCTTTTAAAAAGCCTCTGCTAGCATACAGATAACAACAACAGAGGATTAATCATTTTTGCTATAGCAACCACTGCATTGCAATTACCATAGTGACATGAGAAGAATAGAAAAACTAATAATGAAGAGCTCTTACTTGTTTGGAGCAATGTGTCAGCCAAATAAGTACAGAATTCTCTACTGCTGAGTTCTGCTCACCTTAATCAATTGAAATGCCATTTGTAATAAATATGTCACAAAGCATTCCTGATTTATTTTTAAAAGAGCAATACAGATTTGTCAATTGTTCACTGTTCTTTGATCAGGTTAATGTACAAATCATTGCTATCATGTAACAGAGGGGAGTGCTAAATATTTTTGAGATTCCAATGTAGACATGAAGTCTAAAGTCTACCATATTATCATAAATACGTTGATATATATATACACATACCTATTTAGCATATTTTTCCAATACACACACATATAAACACATATGTATGTACAGGACTGTAGTGACCTTATGGATGGATACACATATATAGATGTATGCAAGCACACATTTGCATAACTTTTAAAGCAAAAAAGCATATATCTTTATTATATGTGTAGCTCAGGAACACTTGGTGCTAGGATTACACTAACATATGTGACAGGTGACTAAGAGTCACCTAATTTTTTTCTTTTTCAGGCTCCACTTATCTATATACCTTCTGCTGGGTAGCTGTTGTTCAACCTTCTTGGTTATAAGAAAGGAAACCTTACCCAAAATCAGTTGCCTTTTTAGGTTCATAGTCAGGATCTTATTCAAAGCTTCCCCCCTTTTTTCAAATGACAGGTAAATACTTAAGGCTGGAAAGGGGACTGCAAATAACACTTTTGGAAACAGGAAATACTGTTAGACAAAGTCACTCTTTGGAACAAAATATGTTTTGCTAAGATGTAGGTGCAATCACTAAATCAGAATCTTGGACTGTAGAAGTGCAATAGCATACAAGTAGAAAGGTGGGTGTAAATGAGAAGGTGGCAGCACAGCTCCCAGGCTCATGGCTGGACCTGACATTTTTCCCGAGTCCAATATGCACAGTGTTAACTAAATGAGAAGTGGCAGAGAGTAAAAGCACAGAGAAAATTGAATCCTTAGAGACCTTTAGGGAATGGTAAGGCTGTCACATCAGCTATGAGGTACAGAAAATGTCACAAAAGAGGAAGAAAGGAAAGGCAGGCGAAAAAGAAATAATGTAGCAGGCTTGTGAGTGTATATTGAAGTGTTTCTAGTCACAGCAGCTGCATCCCAGTGCAAACTGGGAAGGTGCCTGCAGCACAGAGCAAAGTGAGGGCACTATGGTATGTTCTGATCAGTGTATCACAGAACTTGGCAAAAGCTGCTTTGTAGATGGTAGTGCAATCTTCTAATGCACTCCATTTAACATTTTCATTGTCCTAGTTTGATTTGTTGTGCAATGAAACTTCTTTCAGGCCCCATTACAGACAGCCAGATTACTATTTCAAACTGCAAATCATCATAACTTAATTACCTTTGACTTATGACAATCATTATTTTACCATTTTTGAAACAGCAAAAACTGAAAAAAAGGTATGTTCATGTGTGAACAAACCATTTCTAGTAAAGCATTTTCTTTAACTTCAGCTCACTACAAGCAGAATCCGTATGAGAAATGCCTGCCTTTTGAAGGATCTAAATATATGCAGATGTAGCACAGTGGATAAGTGTAGTTACTGTGATTCAGTGTTCTTCTAAAAATGTGAGACTTTGCCTCTGTTGTTAGACTGCTGCAGAGCAAAAAATATTGGAACGAACATGAACAGAACTCAGACTAAGATCCAGCTTTCATTCATTTTTTTCCCTCCTACCAATTGCTGTATAGCCACTCTTACACAGAACTATTTAGCAATAGACAGGATTTTTTTTATGGTCATGGGGTATTATTCAACTTCCTTCAGACTGCATTTCAGGAAAAACATGAAATTTAGAATTATGCCTCATACACATTGTTTTAGTACCATATGGACTTCAATATTCTCTGAAACTTTGTTGAATGAGAAAATAACTATTTCCTGTCTTGATTATTTTAAATTAATGCTCGGAAGATGAAGAAAAAACAACATTATGCACTAGTCAATTTCCTACTCACTGTTACAACAGATTAAAGTTTTAACTCTGATTTCCTGTTTGAGTACTATTACAGGTATTTGGGAATAACCAGTTCCAAGAAGTGAGCTTCTTAAAAGTGAGGATCTCCTCCCATCCATGATACTGATTCCTTGCCTCTCTATCTGCTCTGCCATATAGGCTGCCCCCCTGCCTTTATTTACATACATTTCTTAAGTTCCTGCATGCATTTTCTCCCATTATATTAATTCTTACTAAAAAGACTGCTCCACTGTTGCCTCACACTAGTGCACTGCCTATAAATTTGATGATAAATAGCAGAGCAGGGTATCAAACACCTGGTGCTGGAATTCCAAAGCAGCAGCCCCTGCAGCTGCCCTACCTCTGCCAGCCACTGTCCTTCATAAACTTGGCTGTACCAAAAGCACAGTGGACTGCAGTGCTGTAGCACTGCACATTCAATTTACTCCCATTTTCAAAATTTTAACTTGAATGTTTGAACAGTTTGACTTTGCTTTGCAAAGATATCCCAGGGTGTATTAAAATTCCATTAATTATTATAAATATCTCAAATCATGATCTATCATTTTGGCTCGTTAGTTACCTAACATAGAGATGAAATTATCCTACATAAGGATTGCTTTCTACATTGCTATCATTAAAACTAAAAAAGCCTGATTTCTATTTAGTACTTATTAAGACACATTACTCAGAACATCAGTGTGGAAAATGGTTACAAAAACCCCAACATTTCTAATTTTCTTTATCAGCAAAACCACAGTGTTCTATTATTTCCTTCTGATACTATAGATGCAAATGTTTCTATTTGGAGATAAAAAGATTTTACAAAAACTTGTACAAAGATTTTAGAAAATGTGATAAACATTTCATAGAAGAACCTAGAGCACTGTTCAGATTCTACCTTATTTAATTTACTATAGATCTGTAAACTCAGTTGCTAAATAAAGATCTAAGGATAATTAACAATTCAGAGGTGTCTTCTAGTTACAAATCAAGAAACAGTTTTCCAAGAAGTCTTAAGAATACTTCACATAAGTGGCAGCACAGTGCAAGACGCTGGGTCTAATATGGAGTCTGAGTTAATTTTTAAAAATTGCCATTTTCTTTAAAACAGATTTAAAATAAAAATGCTGCAACAAGGCTACAAATTGACAACATTTAAGACAGGCTCAGTCTCATAATTAACAAGTGCATTGTACAAATATGGTAAATTAGTTCTTTTTATAGTCAATAATGCAGCAGAATTAGGCCTGTAGCACTTGCCCTTGGATTGCAAAAATCTTATTTTAGTACACAGAAAAAAGGAGTTTTTTGGACTACAAACATTTCCTGTTTGTAACATTACATACACATTGATGAGACACAATTGACCAAACATGCACATTCTAATAGAAAAGCACAGGTTTTCACTAACCCTTGCAAAACCAGATTTACATATAAATTAAGTTCTTCTTCTGTACAAAAGCCTTCCAGAATTTTCAATTAAAACCATTAAGATTTTACCATGTTTCATCAATCTTTATACAAGCCACTTTAATTCATTTACATTTTGGCTTTAGTAGTTTGTACAAGTGAAGAATTTATGAATATTTACTCTAACAGTATCTTCTAAAAAAGCTTAAAGAAAAAATAAAAATAGTGAGAAACAAAAATACACATCTGATAGAAGCTAGTTTTACATTGTACCATGCTCAAAGCAGTAGTACATGTCCTTAAGTGTGGCACTCAAAAGTAGATAGATGTGATGCAGAACGTAATGGAATAGGTAAAGTTGAATTTAATGTATTAATAATTATTTCCAGATACTTCCAAGTCAAATAAATATAATACCTTTAAGAAAGAAAGTAAAAAAACCCCACAAATGTTAGAGCTAAACTTTATTTCTTCTTTGATTCAGAGTAGCTAACCAAAATATGAGGGAGGAACAAACACTCAGGATAGTTTAGAAGAATAAAACTCACCAAAATCTGCAAACACAGATTGTCCAACAACTTTCACACCACTAGGCATTTCCTTATTTTTTCCAGGTTTAGTGAAATTCCCATCCTATCAAACAGGACAAAGATGATGGAAAAACTGAACTGCAGACTAAGTGACAAAATTAAACTCTTGAAACAAAGAAAATACACATAAATAAAAGAGTACTTAAGTAGATAATAAGGAGAGTTTTAAGGTATGGGAAAAAAAAAAGCAGCACTCTGAAAATCAGGACTGAGTTTTTCCATTTCTAATCCTTCATGGAAGCTTACAGAAAAACAGTAATAATAATATTCAGATACAATTGACAACATATTTTGTCTTTTTGTTGTAACAAAAAGATGGGGTTATGTCAGTGACATAATCTGAATCATAATTAAGTGATTATAAATACGAAAGTGCATTTAGGCATATTGACATGTGATTTCATAGATACATATATCTATATGACAGACCTGCACACCTGTTAAAAATAGATTCAGATTTTCCTTCTATATAAGAAAATAATCTGATTTTACATTAGGTCTGGTTTAAGTCTTGTTTTAATTGTCTATTATTAAAACTTAGGCCTTCAGAAAACAATATTCCAGTATTTCATCAGAAAGACAAAGAGGCATGCTGGATCCTTGCTTATTGTAAAAGTGGATCACAACTGGAAAAAAACATTTTAAAATGTTTTAAGTCAGATGACCTGAGGCTCACTTCATGAGTCACTGCAATCAGCTCACATGAAGTGCTGTGCACACAACTATACATAAAGCCATTGAGACAAATGACCCTGTTTTCTGGATTACATATAGTTATCCACATTGCTTAATAATGTCAGTTTGGGGACTTCAATGCTGTTGAATATGCAACTCTGCAGACAGTTACTATGTGGACATGTGACTATGTCTCTCTAGTTTTACTTATAATTTATAATGACTCAAGTAAGAAAAGAAAAATTACCAGTGTCAATCACCTCTATGCAGAAAAGACAACTAGGCCCTATGCTCAGCTGGCCAGAAAAACATGTATCACATAAGCAAATATTTTAAAAACATTTTCTGGTGTGTCAGTGAAGGGAATTGCATTGCCTAAGTTTGAGACAGCAAGAATAAAACAACCTGGTCACCCTATTCTTCATAAATCACTATATTGTCAGGAGCCTGCTAGAACAGTTGATGACACACCAGGAGTCCTGCTAAGGTGCATTAAGGCAGTCTGATTGATTACTTAGCAGTCATGTCAAAAAATCTGCAGAGGAACTTATACTGAGTAAAAGATCTCCAGTGACATTCTGCAGTCTGAATGCAACAGTGCAGCCAGTGCCTCTTAACATCGATTCCACTCATTCCTGAAACACAGTGTATCAGGTAACTTCAAACAAACCAACAAACTGAAACAACTTTTCCATGTTGTAACAGAATGGTTATTGGTTTTTCTCTTACCTTATTTACCCATGCCTCAAACTGAATGTTTTCTGGGTTTGAATGTGGTGATGTAGTAAGGAATAAATCTGCAAGAAAAAGTAAGAGGAATAAAATACTAAACATTAGATTACAAAGAGCTAGGGAAAAAGTATACAGTTAAAGTTTTAGCAAGTCAAAATTTTAAATAAAAACCTATAAACCATCATTTTATGTTAGATATGTTGAATTAAGCAACAAATACAGTATTGACAGGAGAAGAGGAGATGGAGAAATTTTTCAGGCTTCCTTTACACGAAAACTCTCTAACATCAAACCAGTGCAAAAGAGTGCTTAAAAGGTTTGTCTGACAATGCCTACATAAAGGGAACCTTATTCATTGCCATTTAGGAGAGCACCCAAATTTGGATAATGGGAAGAAAAAGCCTCATTTATAAATGAGGCTAAAAAAAGGGGGGGTGATAAAATAAATAAATAAATAATTAAGTTCAGTGTTAAGTAGTCAAGATTTTAGGAAAACTACTTTGAGATTTACGCACTTGTTTTCTTATTTTTTTTTTGTCCTCCTTTCCCCTGCAATTTAAAATATTACTATTTGAGTTAGAACACAATGGTTACCTTGTAGGCAGAAAAATGAAAAATTTATTAAAAAATCACTTACAGCTCTTTATGACTCAAAAGACATTCCATATTATTCATCCCAGACAGAGTAACAACAGGCCACAGACAATCAGGCACTCAGCAAGACTGGGCAGTGACAGCAAAGTAAACTGCCAAGTATACTAACCCTAATTTTGAGACACAGCCTTTAGGAACTCACTCCAGTATTAGTGAATTACTTGTAACAGTGTATGTGTGATTGCTGTTTTACACATACACACCTATTTTGTAAAAGCATGTAAAAAAAAAAAAAAAAAAAAAAAGATATTTGCAATGGAGTTTTTTCATTTCAATTGAAAATTCAATTTCAATTTTTTTCCGTTCTTAGTGTGAAGCATATTATATTAGTTGTTTTTTCACCCTCCTCATTTAATCTGATTTCATAATAAGTGTATAAAATATTCAGAAATATGACTGCACAGGGAATTTAAATATAGGAAGGTGAAGAAGAACAGGCATATCAAATCCCAAATGTTAGGACCAGAATCAAAAGTAGCTTTAAAATAAACACTAAACCTGTGAGAGAAAAAAGGGATGAGAAAACCACAGTGCCTGGGATGTCACACAACTTAATAAAACCAATGAATACATTTAGCTATCTGCAGTGTAGGAGGAATAAATCAGGATACTAAATGCAAGTCAAACTGCAAAGAGCTAATAGAAAGACAGTAACTTAAAACATCTGAAGTGTTTACTATGTTAAAAATGTGGAGGTGCTTACAGATTTAAAGCAGCTTAGTTCAGCTGCTGTAGAAACCAGTTATTTTAATGTGCACATCTTCCACATTTTGAGAGCAAGAAAATAGAGCTATGTTTTTGGAGGAGGCAATCTACCATACATGTAATTGGTTTGCAAAGATCAGTGCTGCATATGGCCTCCTGCAGTAGATGATTAAATTAAGCAACATGCCTGTTTAGCACTGAACTCTCTCCTTTTCCCAAAATAGCTTTTCTTGAGACCTAGTAAGTTACTTTTGCCTGTTCCTCTTCATGTACTCCTCCGTCTCCTTTATTGCTAACTTGAGGCATATAACTTTATGTACAACAAATGGAACCAACACACCAAATTGGCTCAAAGGCCACTGTAATATTACACTGCACTGGTAAAATGCAAAGGCAGGCAGAGATAGCAGATAATCTTCCAGAAATAGTGTAGAGCAGCGAGTGCCATGCTGCCCTTCAGTTCAAGCAACAAGCTGTGATTTTCCATAGGACAACTTCATCCAGGTACAGCAACACCACCTCTAGTTCTAGAGCCAGATGAACCAACTCAGTTGGTATGTTATTGCCAATTGTCCTCCTTTATATCCTTAAGCCTTAGAAGTTACGTGTCTCAAATGGTCATAATGTTTTTCTGATTAAACCCTCTTGCACTGAAATAAAATCAGATGCTTAATATTTACAAATAATTTTCCGTGTTGATCAAGAATGTCATCTCCGCCTTGTGCCCCCTGCTTGCAGTTATGGATCCAAATGCTGGCACTAGTCCACAACCACAAAGGAAGGGAAGGTTTCCATAATCCCTGCCTATGGTATGTTCACTACTGTTTTAGACCGGCAGTAAGAGCAATTAAGGAAAACAACAACAAAGAAACCTAGTTCATATTTCTAAAATATGTTTCAAAGTGGCTAAATTTGAATGGCTCTTTTAATTAAAACAGCAAAAGCAAAGAGACCTTGCTATCATTCAGGAAGGATGTTTCAAAAGCAAGTGCTAGGTCACTATGAAAACAGTTGCCCAAGTTTTCAAACGCCAAACCAGCTCCACCATGACTGCAGTTTGTAAAAGTGGCAAAGTGGTAAAGCTGAAGGATGGAAGTTCAGCGAGGAGGCAGGTAGAGAGCTTAGAAGACTTCAGCCTAACTGGAAAACAGCAGGCAATCTTACTCAATAAAGTAGCTAGTATTACAAACCCTATTTCCAAAAATTGCTTTTTCTTATTAGGACTACCAGGAAAATCCACTAAAACCTAACTGTACAGAACCTGCTCCAAGTTCAAGTCTCATCATCCTTGTTCTTTTCCTTCACTTCTGACTGTTACAGAAAACAGTACTATTTATAGATGGAGCTTTCATTTCACTAATGACTGATTTGACCTTTCTGTTAATGTCAGAGGGCTCTATTTCAGAATTAAAACACTCAGCATCTATGGTTGTCTTCAGAAGCCACCAGTGCATGAGCAACATTCTTAAGTTATAGCTTGATTTCACATTTACTTCAGAAGTTTAAGGTAAGAATGAGTTAATAATAATAATGAAGTTAATAATGAAAAAAATTCTCCCTGTTTTTAAACACTGTCAAAATGCACATGGTATTACCCACTGAGAACACAGGCATGTACACTCCAACCATTCCTAAAAAATGATCATTTATATGGAAGAACAGGTGTGTTTGTACATATTCTTTAACTATGAGATATTTGAGGATATGCACATCCCCACCTGCATGTGTAAATAATATATAAATATCTCTGTGTCTTGCAGCGGATTGACAAAATGGGTAAGGTGACAACTGCATTAAAATCATTAAATGCCATAAAGCATTTAATGTAAATGACAAGATTACTTCCCTCTATTTACATGACTATTTTTCCTGTATTAACATTACAGATTGACCCACCAATAGAAAAAAAAGAAATATTTAAAAACAAAGTGTAAAATGTTATTTACAATTTTTTAGTTGCATTTATACAACTTTAGTTACACAACACTTTTAATATGAGAAAATCCTAATTTTATACAAAACCACTTAGATTTAGTCTAACTTGACAAGTTTAGTACTTCTGTTTCCAATTTTTTAATTTACATAGAGAAACACTTAATCATTTGGTATTCAGATTAGTTTGTCAAGTTGACATTAGTACTATACTAGAGAAAATGGAATATATCTACTGCCTAGCTGTAACAATTTAGCTTTTACAATATAGATACAAGTACAAGTACCAAGGCTCATGAGTTTGCAATTAACTTGTCATGAATTTTTAGTGCTAGTCACACAAAACATAAGCTAAGGAACAACCTCCTTCCAGTAACTTCCTCCTCTGAAAAATTCAAGCAAACAAAAGGACTTCATATGTTCCAAACAAGCTCATTTGTGTTTGTTAAGAAATGTGCTTATAATAAGAAAGGTTGTGAATTTATTCTGCTTTTCAACTGAGTCTTTCTGAATTTAGTGTTTACTGGAATTCTTTAGTAAAGCACATGTTAAACAATTATAAATAACATAATTAAGCACTAAAATCCTTTTTGTTATTAAAAATTACTACAGAAAAGAATAATACATATTAATTTAACAACATTACTTAAATGGAAAAATTTAACTTAGATTTATGACAAATAGTTATGCTTCTGAATATGCACAACGTATGGGACTATTTATCTGGGTTTTAGCACTTAAAAAATGAGTTTTCAGACAGAAAATTCTATTTATTTTCAGAATAGAGGCAACAATATTGTTTCAAGCAATGGGAGATGACTGCTGATTTTATTAAGAGTGCTTTCTTTCAGAACCCATTTTCATATTCATGCTTTCTCAACAAAATGCTATTTGGGGCAGAATCAGTTTACTCCTCACCTGTATTAAGTTATTGATTCCCATAAAAAATATTAGTATTCCCCAGTGTATATGTCAGTATATAATACAAATTTCGAAAGGAATAACTTTAGAGACACTTAATAATTAAATTTTAAAATTTAAACTGCTAAGCAGATAGTACAGGCGATGGGTTCTTTTAGAAAGAATAGAAAACTCTTTTCTCTAAAGATGTCTTCTCATTCTTTAAGTCACTTTGTGATGTAAGCTATGAGTAAGAAAAGTGGCATTAGCAAAAGTAGATGCTCTCAGCAGCAGGAGGAGATGCAGTTAATCTGAGCAACTCTGGCTTTGTCTTACAAGAATGAACCTCCTGTGGTATTGAACACTGTGCAGGAACAAGTGGAGGAAAAGTTAAGAGAAACAAATCTGTAAAAACTAAAAATAAAAGTAAAAAAAAAACCAATCAAAACCTTAGAGATGGAGGTCCTCCAAAATATATCCTGTGTAGCTTATATGATACATTTTTGGCCTCCAGGTAAGCTCTGTTATCAGAGCTTAAAACAGCTGAGAAATTAAAAAATATACCTGTTTAAGGACTGAAACAGAAACATGGCATGACTGCGTATTTGTTTTGGGAAAAAAACATAAGGGAGGAGGCAGAACCAGAGAGAATGATTTGACTTCAAATACTTGTACACACACATATACAAGGAGTTTTAAAATGCCACTCAAGGTAAGTTTTAAAAGGCCAAATAATCGGTTTGCAAACATGATGAGCCTGGTTATTTTAATAGAGAATAAATGCAGGTCTAGTGCATAGAATAAACATTGATGATAGTATATGCAGAGAGGCTACCAGCTTCCATTAAGAGGAAATTCAGCAAAAATATAATCA